TGGCGGCGCGGGCCGAGCCGGCCTTTGTGCAGCGCGCTGCCCCAGGGAGGTGGCGCCTATTGTTCCCCGCGGGGGGTGGGGGAAGAACTCAGACTCGGGGTCCACGCCAGCCCCCTTCCCAGAGGGTCCCAAGATCCGAGGACGGGTAGAGGCTTCCTTTGTGCGTTCTCTGCAGGCGGCAGAGCTGGCTTCGTGGCTGCCCCGACGGGCGGGAGACGGGGTTGAGAGAGTAGTACTAGATCTGCAGGCCGATGCAGCCTTGAGCTCAGCTCAACCCACTCAGCACAGGCAGAAGAGCAGGGGCGAGTTTGTAGGACACTGCTTTGAACAATAGAGCCATCAAACGGCCTTCTTGCATCTCCACAAGTCAGGGGCACCGTGCTCCCCTCCTTCAGAAAATCCCTGGCTGGACAGGTTATCCTAACCTGGTTTTAGACCTGTTTCCAGGGGTAGAAACACTTTTCATGTGTACTAGGGATCTCCATGAATCCTGATTTAAATTAGCATCTTCTCCTCCTTGGGCCCTTACTAACGTTAAAACCCTACCACTTTTGTGATTTTCCAGATGTTCTTCCAGAAAATGATCCAGACTAGCTATAAGACCAATCAAGATACTTTGCCACAAGATCAAGGACAAAGGGACTAACTAACTCAATAAATCCTACTTTGGAGACCTCCTGGTGTTCCTTCACCTGCCTCTGCTACTCCAAGCGGACACCCATTTGCCTTGGCTCTTCCTTCATGCGTGGAAACCTTTTGTTCTCCATGATTCTGGCTGGACCTGGCCTGAAAGTGAGGCTTGGGGTTGTCTTTACACTTTTCCAACCTACCAAGGTGTGTGTGAGACCTCAGGGAAATGTCTAGGAAGGAGTTTAGGCCTGGTATATAGATTCATTTGCCAATAACCTTGGACCCCAAAGATAGTCATTTGTATCTAGGGAAGAAGACAAGGGAACAGTGAGAAGTAGGATTTCATCCTCTGTGATCTTCTCCAGTCGCTTTCCACCACCACCGCCGCCAAGGTCCTAAGTGTGGAGGATTCATTGATTGTCTTTTTCGCTCTACCCAGGCCTTGTGGAGAGAGATCTGAGTGAGCCAATCCACAAAGGTGGTAAGGGTTTTGCTGGCAACCCAGTCGCAGCTACCCATATCTGAAGAGTCTAGGGTATGCTCACCAAGGTGGTAGCCAGACCTGCTCTGGGTAGTTGCAGTGCCCTAAAGTGATCAGGACTGTGAGGCCTGAGCCTTCTGCCTCTCTTGGCCTTTTTCATAATCTCACAAATTTCTGTTCTTCCTGTTCTGTTCTTACAGTTTCTGAAAGAAAGACCAAAGCAATGCCAAGAACTCCCAGATGAAGAGGACCCTTCTAGACCTGGAACTGGGATTAATCAATTCTTGCCATCGGAAGGAAAGTTCAGCTAATTCTCAGGATAAAGTCAAAACAGGCCTGTGACTGTCCCTCGAATAATGAAAGTGTAGACTAGCTTCTGGCTCACTCACGTCAAACAGAGGAACACTTTATTAGAATGCAGGGACACTTTTATTCACACATACACCCACACCCATCCTCTTCACCCTCCCTAATGAAAAACCTCAACAGATGGAGAGCATGGCCTCCCAGCATACTGGCTGAGAAGATGCACTTCACTCAAGGGCCAGTCAGCTAGTACAGACTGGGGGAGGGAGACGGGACAAGCAGCTGGTATAGGTAATCACTATCTTTTAATACTCCTTACAGATGGAAATTCGAAATACCTTGTTCAGCAAGGTTAGCAGCCTCTGGGGCCTCAGAAACCAATTTGGCTGATATGTGTCTGATAGGGACTAGGCTTGGGCTGCATCGAGGGGAAAGTACTAGCTCTCAGTTCTCCCTCACTCTCATTTGAAAGCCTGTACAAAGGAATGGTACAAATGGATAGTTGATGATTCTGTCAGAGGTGGATTTTCCCATCAGGAACCTGGATGAGGCAGAATATATACTTAATCGCCCTTCCCTCCTTTCTTGGGGCCAGGACTACTTTCCAGGCCTTTGCTCAGCATCTTCCCCATTTCCTCTCGTTAGCCCAGTTGGGTCCTTGGACTGGAGGCTAGGTTGTGTGTTGCTGCTGGTTGCAAGAGCAAAGGCAAACTCTCCTTCTACCCTGAGTCTCTTACCCCACTCCCATCCCTACTTGCAAAATGGCAACTAGGTCATTCCAGCCTCCTCACCTGTACCTTAGGGGCCTTAATTCATATTTGATAACCTGGAGGAAAGGACCAGAGGCACCCAAATGACTGCCACCCCCAACCACGGACCTGAGCTCCTGGCCCTGACCCCTTTCTCCAGGCCTCAGAGGCTCCACCACCCCCCTGAAACCAACCTCCCGCAAAGCGGTCTCTATTGGAGGAAGAAAAGAAAAAGCAGAGCTGGGCTCAGCCTGAGCCAGAGAACCATTTCCTCCTCTGAGGCAAAGGAGGTAGACCTCCCAGATGCCAACGGCTGGGGTTGGCTGTCTTTGTGTGGCCTCTCCAGCCGCGGAGCCCTTGGGAAGCTGCGCACACAATGGTTCCGCCGCTCCCGGAAGGCCCTTGGTCCTTCGCTCGGCCGCGAGGGACCAGCAGCCTCGAGGGCTTGGTATGCACCCCTGTGTCCCCTCGTGCCAGGCCCAAGGGAGAGACACAGGCTAGGGGGTGGGTCTCCTTCCCCTGACAAGCCCCCTCCTCCCGCTGCAAGTCCACCCAGGAGGGGAGGCCCAGGCCCGGGGCGCCACGGCGAGCCCAGGCTCCCCTCCCCCACTTTTCCTCTCGGCTTCTCGCAGACCGAAGAGAGAGGAGGCGGGCGCCGCCACCATTAGGGAAGCTATTGTGACCTTCCCTGGCGGAGCGGGAGCCCAGCCGAGTGTGTACCGCCGGCGGTGGCGGGGGAGGAGGCGGCTGTGTGTGCAGACCTCGTGCGGAGAGGGTGGCGCTGGGGAATAAATAAAGCTCCGCAACCTCGGGCAGTTGGGCCCTTCTCAAGGCGTTTGGTTGTGTTTAGACTCGGGTGCTTCCTAACACTAATTGCAGGCTCAAAAGGAGCGGGATTTATGGCGAAGGCCAAGGCGACTTGTTTATAATTTATGAAGTTTTAAATGGCTGTGCCGCAGGACCCGGCTCTCGCCCGAGCGCCGCCTTTGTCCGGCCCCCTCCGCATGCCTTGCCGGCGGCCGCGCGGGAACGCGCCCTCCGGGACTCGCTGCTGCCCCCACTGCCCCCAGTGAGACCGAGCGTGCCGGTCACATGACCCTCACGCCTATGGCAGAAACAGGTCCAAGCCATTTTCGCGAGCCTCAGGGACCTGATGGTTTGGAAGAAAGCCCCCGATTTGGCTTAGCGAACCCCCAATACCTCACTGGAGAGTCGTGCCTTGGGATGACGGCAGAGGCCTGGAGAGGGAGCCGCCAACCCTTCACTTGCTTGGCGCCTAAGTGTGAGAGGAAGCTGATGTCAACCCGGCTAGACCCCGTTTGAGGTCTAATCCTTGAAACCCTAAGCCTCAGATGACACTTGGGCCTGCCTTGCAGATACCCGCAGACTCAGCAGATACTCCTGCGGTAACATACAGCGCTGGAAAACGCCTGGAGCTATGATGCATTATGTATTTTTATTATTATTTATGGTAGGAAGAGGAGATGAGGGAAAATCGGGCTGAATCTAAACAGCCTGACAATTCATCTATTTAATATTTAGCTGGTTAAGAAAGGTGGTTGTAAACCCTGCATGGCAGGGATCTCTTCTTTGATTTCCCTAATAGCTTAAAAAGTAATTTCTTACAAGACAATAAGAAATTCTGCCTATGGATGCAAATTTTATAGAAAACAATTTTAAGCCTTGAAAGTGGGTAAAATATGCCTTCGATTGAAGTCATTTATTCTGCGGATACATTTCTACACGTATACTTGAAACCTGCTCCGATAAAGTGAAATTTAGCAAAAGAATAGTCCCCTCCCGCCCCCAATCTAACATGCCATTTTGAAAACAGCACAAAGGAACAAGGAAACTAAATATTATTTTGAGCCATCATTATTCAGCCAAACACAAACATCCAAAGAGAAACGAGTGTTGTTCCACCAGAAGATTAGGAGTTAAATTATTTCCACACAATAGGAATTTCACCTCGTGTCACTGGGGGATGAAGTAGGAGTTGCATTATTTGTCAAACCGAATAGAGATGCGTGGGCAGACTTTGCTGAAATACAAAAGAATTGAACCTTATCTGAAGGTGCCTTCCAAGTGCCCCTCCCAGAGAAGCGAGTGTAAGTTGCCCGCCCCTAGCTAATGCCACACTAATATTTACAAAGTGGTTATAAATCCTTGAAGACACTCTTTTGCCCGTTTTGTACAAAGAAACAGGAGTAAACAAAGTGTTTATACTTTTCATGTTCCATTAATGAAACTTTTATTACTTTACATCGTGAGGAACGTTTGTTTTATTCAGAAATGAACCACCGACCACCACAAAGGGAAAAAATTTAAGACAGCATTTCCTAGAGAAAAAGCTTAGGTGCGCGTCTCCAAATGACCGTGTCTTTTTCTGCACCTTAGCTTCTTCATAGTTCAGTCCTTATGTCGTCTTCTCTTGTGTCTGGTCTTTGATTGTCAATTTTCTTTCAAAGTTTATTTTTTATTACTTAAGGAGAAAAGTGAGCTCTGACCTCCCAATGTAAAGGGATTCTAACAAAGTAGATTTATGACTAGAAAGAGGGCGGTAGAAACGGCAACAGCGCTGGGAAAAGCCCTACCCAAATCATCCCACCCAGAACGATTTTCTGCTTTTGCATCTTCAGATTTGCTTTCTTACTGTCAATTGCTGGAATGTAATAAAGTATCCCCAGAACCAATGTGTGCACTGAATTTCAAATAAATTTTAATTTTTTTTCAAGGGTCAGCCTCTTTCAGAGCCTTGTCTAGGGGGATAGTGCTAAAGATAAAAGCAGGGTAGTATGCTTGCAAGTGTGCGTGATTAACACAGATACACTTCGGACTGGGAAATTTTTTTTATTCTAAATATTTCTTCAAATAGTACCAGACAATTTGAAATCAATAAGCTGTGTCGAGTGGTGAGGGCTGCGGCTGCTGAGAAATGAGTAAAGGGTGTGTACCACGCCACGGGGCTGCCTGACTCTACCCAGGAAGGACAATTTGCGGTCTTAATCCTTTACATCAACTACAAACACCAGCCACAGTTACAACTGTTCAAAACTACTCTCTCAACTAGTTCAGACCAAGGGGACTAAAGAGGTGAAATTGGCCCCTGCGGCCTGGGAGCGCGTTCCTAAGCTCGGCTGGAGGATTTCTACAAATATACACATAAATACATTAAGACGAGGATAAATAATCGGGAAAACGAAATGACTCGCTTCAAATAATAAATACAGATCGTTGAGTCCGATGCAATCCTTATGGGACGGGAAGGAGCATATAAATTAACGTCTCCAAAACTAAGCTAGACGCGGGCCAGGCCTGGGCTCTCCGGCCTTTGGCCCCTCTGCAGGGCGCGCCGCCGTTGAGTCTCAGACTTACCTTCGGGACACCATTACCAGATTAGAGTCCCTCGGTCCGCTGTATATGGCACTGTCAGGCTTACAGAGGAGGATCCTTGCTGTTGATTTATGGCGAGTCACCCAAAGGAGGGCACGCCCGGAGTGGAGGCCCGGTCGCCTGCGTCTCGGCCACTGGAGGCTCTAGACCCGGGAGGCGGCGGCCGGGCCGGAGCCGGGGAGGGGGTCACCAAGCCGCCCCGCGGGCCCCGCCCGCCACCCCCACCACCAAGAGAGGTAATTGCGCCGCGAGTTCGATCCGGCGGCGGCCGCTACAGATGCGTCAGTTTGGGGGCCTCTGGCAGGCGTCCCTGAGACGAGTGGTGGGCCGAAAGATCTGTGTAGGTGGGATGAGGGTCGCACGGTCCGTGGTGGTGGTTGCCGGGAATTTGCGCGGCGCAACTGTAGTCCACGCTGGCCGAGGACGGGTGCGAGAGGTGGCCGAGGTTGAAGACGGGCCCGGACGCGGGTGCCATGGAGTCGACGAAGTTGCCGCCCACGTACACCGGACTGCCCTGCAGGTTGGCGCTGCCGAAGCCGCCGCCGTTGCTCGCCATAGGATGGGGCTCGAACTCTGGCGCCGCGTAGCGCTTCTGTTGCGGCAGGCAGCTGCTGAGCGGCGCCGTGTAGGCGGCCAGGCCGTACATGTTGGGCTGTGATTTGGCGAAGGCTGGCGGCGAGGGCGCGTCGTAGGCCAGGCCCGGCACCGGCGGCAGCTGGCCGGAGTAGGCCACGTGGCCCGCGGCGCCGCCGAGCGGCGGGCTGCGCTCCGGGGACTGGCCTGCGGGCGAGTGCAGAATGCCCTTGGCCTTCTGGTCCTTCTTGTACTTCATGCGCCGGTTCTGGAACCAGATCTTGATCTGGCGCTCGGTGAGGTTCAGCAGGTTGGCCATCTCCACGCGGCGGGGCCGGCACAAGTAACGATTGAAGTGAAATTCCTTCTCCAACTCCACCAGCTGCGCGCTTGTATACGCCGTGCGCACCCGCTTGGACGCAGGGCCAGGCGGGCTCTTGTCCTCGCAGCTCTCTCCTGGGCAGGGAGGGAGAGACGGGGTGCGCTGAGCGAGATAGATGGGGAACACCAAGGACCGAAGAGAGGTGCTTCTCGGGCTCCCTCCTCTTCCATCCTTCCCCCACCTCCAAGCCCTGCTAGGGTGGGGGAGGGACTCTTGAGAGGTGAGATTCCGAGAAGGAATTCATTCCCTCAGGCCTACTTATTACTCTCACCTGAAACCCTCTCCCTCTTCTGACTTGTGAAGTTCGATCCATTCTGCCTACCCGCTCCTTCCAGCCTAGCCCACTATCCTGACCCAAAGGCCATGGAGGACTTTAGTGAGAGACCAGGAGCACCCGGGCCAGACTGCATTGACCACTGCTCTCAGGCGCTGCTGCAGAGAGGGAGGCAGTCTCAGCCTGGCGAGGAATGGGGGTGGGGATCTTGGCATCCCACTCCAGCCCAGCGGCACCCAAGGGCTCTGCTCTCAAAGGCAGGGAGGTGGTAAACCATGAAAATACTGCCCTAGAATTTTAACTGGCACCCAGAGCCAGGCTGCCAGCATGTTGAGTATTGCAGTGCTAGGAGCAGCCTCAACACTGGCTTCCACCATCCTGCCACCTCTCAGCTGCTTGTCCACTCCCTCCCTGGGAAGACAAATGGATTTCTTTTGGGAGGGAGGGCCTGGGCCTGCAACTGAAGAGGGAGGGGCAGGAGAAGGAGCTTGAAAGCTATAAGACACTTTCCACCTAGGAGCAGCAGCCCCCTCTGCCCCGACCTCCTGAGCATAACAGAAACAGGAGAACCGATTAAAAAAAAACACACATCCCAGGACTCAAACTAACCTGGACCTGGAAGCAGGTTCATCTACCTGAAGATAAACTACATCAGAGAACACACAAAGCCTCCAGAAAAGTCCAGGAACCAAGTAGCCTGAGCAGAGAGAATGAGCAGAACTCAGGGCTCCTGGCACTGCCCATCCTTTTCTCACACACCCTACAGAAGAGCTTCTTAACTCTAGGGTCTCATCTCCCATCCCCACGGAGAGAGACCCAAGGTTGTTCCTGTTTCAGAGCACACCAATTTTCCCTAGGTCATGCCACTCCCCATTATGGATGTATGGGGTGGGGAGAATTGGACCTGAGTGGGCCAATCGGTTATGACTTGAGAGCCCTGGAGTCTGGCTCCTTGAGTTTAAATCTACCACTTTATAGTTTTATGATCTTGGGTAAGTCACTTATCCTCACTAACACTGGGTTTCCTTATCTGTAAATGGGGATGTTATCATATACCTACCTCAAAAGGCTATTTGGGAAATTAAATGAAATAGTACTTGTAAGACACTTAAAATGATTCCTAACATAAGCAGCGCTTAATTGACTTTACTTCTTATTCATTCAAGTGAGTGGAATTCATGTGATAAGGGCTATATGACCACCCCAGCTTGTGAAGGGCTGTTGGGTAGAAAAGGAAGCTGAGTTATAACCAGCAGCCTTGGAAAACATATTAGGAACAACAGGTATAAGGAAGAGCTCTCTATTAATAACTGGGAGACTTGTCTGGCAATGGCAAGTCTGGAATGGAAGCGGAGTGAGCACCCTATCACTGTAAGGGTCTGACCTCCATCAGGGAGACTAAGAAGGAAAAATATTTCTGCATGAATGGCAGCTTAGACAATATGGCCTCCAAGGTTGTACTTCCAGCCCTGAGTTTCTTGGTTCCTAGGTGAACTGGGCTTTCTGGGGTCAGTCTGGAGGGGACTTTGGCTAGTGGCCCAGGGGTGAGCCCCTCAGAGAGCTACCTGCAGAGGTACAGCTGTTCTTCTGCTTGGAGTTTTGTCGGGACTCTTTCATCCAGGGGAAGATCTGCTTGCTGATGGTAGCTGAGGAGCCAGAAGCACTAGGCCCACCCTTGGTCTTCTTGGGAGGCACCCCACCGCCAGGATTGGAGGGCGATGATGGGGGCAAGGTTGGTGGTGGAGGAGGGGGTTGTGGTGGCTGCTGCTCTGAGTTCAGACCTGGAGGCTGGCTGCCACCCCCCCCACTCTGGCCACTCCCTGTGCCAGGTCGCATGCAGCTGCCATTGAGTTCAGCCCCTTTGTGGGCTGGGGCTCGAAGAGGTGCAGAGTTCTGGATGGAGCAGGCTGAACCTGGGTAATCAGTGTCCAGTGAATTAGCAGGAGGTGGGTAGGGCTGATGAGGGGCACTATAGCCATAAGTGTCAGTGGCTTTGCTGTAGCCATAGCCTCCAAAGAGTCCTGGGTTTTCATAGTAAGCAGCCTTCTGCATTGTGCACTCAGGAAGTTCCAGGGCCTGCTGACCCTGCTCAAATAACATTGACTGCCACAGTCTCCTTCACTGCCACCTCCAGTGTCTACCAAATCTTGAGAGAGAAGCTGAGCCAGCCTCAGGCCCCAGGTAACCTGCCAAGAAGAAAAGTGAGAGGTCCCAGAGGGACTGTCATTGGCAAGACCAGACAATATAGAAAGACAAGAGACAAGCCCCAGGCTCTGTGCTACCCACCCACTTCACAGTGTGTGGGAAGGGATGGGTGGGCAAGATGCAAGTTCTGGGATTTTGTGAAGTTCAACTTACTTGAACTCTTGGAAAAATTAGAAAAATTTCCTCTTAAACCAAAGAGAAGAGCTATCATTTCTTTAGTTCAGCTCCAGCCTAAGGAAGGGACATTTTTTCCCTCCTCAGGTACAATTTTCTTGCCCTGTGATTGTCAATTTAGCCTTGTACCTGCAGGGAAAAGCCTTCTGTCATCATAAGTTTTAATGGCTGATTTCCTCACTAGACTGCAAGCTCCTTGTAGGCAGGGCCTGCACCTTATTTTCATCTGTATATTTCTAGCATCCAGCCCAGTGTCTGACATGTAATAAGTATGCAATAAATGCTTGTTGAATGAGTGAATAAAGGAATGAATCAATTGATCATTGGGTCATCTTAGGGTTTTGAGTGGAAAAAGAAGCTCTATACCATATTCAGAACAGCCAGAGTTCTCAAAATTAAATAAATAAAGTATCATCCCCACCTGGTTTCAAAATCACAGCATCTTTCACAGAAACCCAGGTTGTCCACTTCCCAGTGACAGCATGAGAAGCAGCCCAGTTCAGTACTGTAGGAGGTACAGTGTCAAAAACTAGAAGATGAAAACCAAGAAGAGGACTTAAAAAGACTTCCAGAGTTATTTTGAGGATATGAACATTTTTTTTCTTTCATCTGTATTTTTCTAGAACCTTGACACTATCTTCCCACTGCTTTTAAACGGATACAAGTAGAGACAGGTAAAGAGGTCTAGAATTTGAAATGCATAGTTTGAATGAGCATAGGAGAGTGGAGAAATTTTTATATTGTAACTTTATTTTTACCTTGGATCTATCATATAGATATTATTATTGACCTCCTCTCTGGATCATCTATTCTACCCCACCTCCCACCCAACCCATACCCAATGAGAAAACCTCTCATGACATGATGAATGGACCCAGAATTCAAACAACAATAACAACAAAAAGAAAAAAATCTAAGAAAAATTCTACCCTTTTGTGTCTCCTGACTCTTGATGGAGTTTTCTCTTCTCATCCCCTACCCTTTCTCCTCAAAGGCTCCTCAGAAGTTAAAGTATAACTACTATCATTCAACCACTTTTGTCTATTTTATAAAGAAAACTCACAGGTCAGCTCCCTGGTCTAAATTCTTGATCTCATCTTTAGGGCAACTTTCCTTCCCAGAAACTCTTTGTTTCCATTATGGTCATCAAGACAGACCATATTATCTAGAAAGTTTATGTAGCTGAATGGATTTGACCATCCCTCCAAAGCCACTTCTCCATTCAATCATTTTCCTTCTCACTTTCACCAAAGAGTCTAACCCAATTTTTAAAAATTCAAATTTTTGGAAATTAGTCTTTGTTTAGCAGCATTATTATCCATTTAATTTCAAATATAACTGAATATGCCATTTATCTTGATGAGAGTTAGGCCCTTCACAATGAGATACTAGGATGGTATGTTTTAGGAATTATTTGTATTGTTTTTCTTAAATATATGAAGTTAGAACATCCACCTAACAAGCTAGACTTAATATTCCTTTCCATTCATTTTCTATATTATTCTCTGAATATTAAAGTGATTGAATATCAAAGAGACAGCAAAATTCCCATTTTGTGACTGATATTTATATGGATTTGTCCCCAGGCCAAGGGGCCAAACATTTGGGGTTTGGTTAAGTGGTGGGACTTTCCTGGGATTCTGTTTCTAGTCTTAAACCTTAGACCTTCTGGATGTTTAAATGGTCACATTTCACACTCAGACCACCAGAACTCAAACTGCTGCTTCTGTCATTCCATGTACAACTATGAAAGCAAAACATTTCTCTCCTGCTCCACCCCACACACACACACCCACGCTCCCGCCCAGGTGAACCAAGTTTATCTTGATAGGTGCACCAGTCACACTAAAATTGCTTCTTTAGGAAGTGATCAGGTCTTTGGGATGGATGGTTTTACATACACATTTATGCTTGTGGCATATTCTCAGAAAAAGCTCTGTATACAGAACTCCAAAGGGCTAATGCTTCCTTCTGAGAAGCATTAGCATTCCTGTTCTCCAGCCTCTGTTTTCATCGTTTTCAGGAATTTTGAGGCCAGCTCGCCACTCTAATGTCTGTTTCCCCGTGAGCAAAGACAGCAACGCTCCCCTCACGAGGAAGGGCTTTGCAGCCTCAGAATAAATTCAGCTCCCCCAAAGAAGCCACCTCTCCTAAAACAAAACTTGAGACTATTGTTGCAAAAATGGTAAAGGGCCTTACTTCTTTCCAGAAATCCCTACTCCTTGTGAACTCTGCTTGAACCTAAAAAGCAGGAATGGGTCATAAATCACTTGGACAATGGTCAACTGTTCAGTGGCTCATCTTTTCCATCACCCCCCCCCCTTTTTTTAAGCTTTTCTCCCCCCAGACCCCCCCCCCCGCCCCGCCTATAGTACCTTTGCTCTTTGGGGCTCAGATCCCAAATGCCCAGGGGTGAAGACCGCCTGTGAAGGGGGAGGGGACGGTCGAGCAGGACTCGACATTACTTCGAAGTCCTCAGTGGCCTTTTCCTCTCACTCCACCCCTCCACCCTCCAGCCGGGGCAGCCCTGCTAGAACCCCAGCAGGACAGTCTCTGGCCCCTCCTGGGGAACGGGCGCCAAACGGGGTCTGGCTCATCCTTCCTTATGGCTCCGGGAAGTTCCCCAACTCAGCTCCGAGGCCCAAGCCCAGGCTTGCGGTGCAGGGCCAAACGGGCCTCAGCCAGAAGGCAGGCGGCCTGTGAGCCACCACCGCCAGCTTTCCGGGTCGCGCCGGCCCGCCGCGCCTCCGCAGCCGCCGAGCCCTGATATTTGCTCACTGCACTTAATTCTGTCCGGGATCAATACCTAATATGATACCGAATAAATAAAAAGCGCTCACAGCGGCCTGGGGACGAGGTTATTAAGCAGCTGGAGCTCTCACGGTGCATATCAATGCACCTGTCATTGTGGTTTGTAACAAAATTTATGACTGCAAGCGCGGCAGCAGTAAACGCTTCAGTAAGGAATGAAAAGAAAAACACTTCCCAAGGCCCGGCACTTTTCAGAAGTGGAAAGCAGGCTCCGCGTAGGAGGAAGTGCAGCAAAAGAATTCTCTCCTCCGCACTTTGCGAGGCCCGCGAGCCGCCGTGTTATATAAAGTGGCCGCCGGCCGCCTCCGCCAGCAGCTCTGCTCCGTGCTCACACGCCTGACCGGACGCGCTGGCAGCCCGAGGACGAAGACCTGCCACCCTCCGCGGCCTGGGGACGGCGGGAGGCTCACGGGACGCGCGCTCGCTCTCTCACCAGGGCCTGGAGCAGGGCCGGGGCTTGGGGAGTGCAGGGGAGACAACCTCAGCACTGTGACTAGCGTCGCCACTGTAGTAAATCACCGACCGATAGTCCTGTAAGGTGAGAGAAAAGGGGGAGGCATGGAGTGCTGCTTGGTGCTGTTTCTCTAAAGATTGTCTACGGTTCTGGGTGCTGGTTGGTCTCGGCTCCTCTTCTTGTTTCCGCTGACCCAGGGCCTCGGAAGCCCACCGATCTCGTTGCCGGAGATGCCGCTCCAGCCTGCGCATCTCAGCTAATGCTCTGGGACTGAGCAGCGATTTTCCTCTCCCTGGTTTGCATCGCTACTTAGGGATTTCCATATCACTCCTTTTTTCGGGTTTGTTCAGAAGAGAATATATTCACTGGGGCAGTTTTCTGCCCAAGTCCTTCCGTTTCTCAGCTTGGGCTCTTCTGCCCTGGCGGCAGCCCTAGACGCATCTCCTAAATCACTCCTGTTTAGCCCAGATAACCCAATATGTTCATACACCCTGCATTTAAGGCACTGGGTCCACCCCCATTAAAGCGCCATAAATTTGAAGGCCGATGATCGGTTATCATGTAACGGGCGGCAGTTTATACCGAGGTGATCCACTTCAAAGCCACCCTTGTTTTATGACTTGATGTATGAATCCTGAGATGGCTACCTTGAGTTTCAGGACAGATAGAACTGTGGAAATATAGTGGAAATTGTTTAAAAAAAAAAAAAAAAACTACCACTCACCACAGTTGTGTGTGTGATTTGTTTCCCTTGATTTTTGCCTCTAACTCCTTCTGTAGGCTTCTCAGGTTTCTTTTGATTCTCTGTGGAGGCTAATCTGGAACAAAATGGAAAACTCTCAGTGGCAGTCGCTTCGTTCTTACAAACACTTACATGTCGAGAGGCCTTTCCCCCTGTACGGGTATCATGATCAATGTGACTATTGTATATGGTGCCCGCAGACATTCTGGGCGCTTTTGCCCGGCAGGCGGAAAGGAGGCTGCGTTCACTTCAGAGGAGCTGGAGGCCTTTAACGCCCAAATCCACGGCTGGATGGGGGAGGAGGAGGCTGGTATTGCGGAAGCACCCGACCCACGGGCCAGGGGGCGGTCCAAGTGGGTCAGAGGTGTAGGGAAACCGGTCCACACTCCTCTTGCTCCCACCAACTTCCAAGTGCTCAGGTGCCCCGAACCCCGAGGCCAACCCACTCCTTCCCCCAAGGGCAGAAGGGAAAGACTGTGCAGAATGAGGGGCTAAGGAAGAGGCAACCGTTTGGAACACCAGGAAAGGAAGGTGGACTTGTGAATGGACACGGGCGCTGGGTGAGTCCTAACCAGGGGCTCCCTCTAAGAGCCCCAGTGAAGAAGGAGCTGGGTGCTATTTCCTGGCTTATACATCATATCTCCTTGTGGTTTCTTTGGTTTATTTTATTCCAGTAAGCAGGCACCACACTCTTGACCTAGACGGCCCACGCTTACGTTGGGATCATCCTGCAAGCAGCCTAAGAAACAAATAGCCCTTCCAGCCCCTACCCAACACACAGCCCAGACTACCCACCACTGCCGTCGCTCAGCGGGTGCCCACCCCCGGCAGGTGAAAGGAGAGAGACACAGTCCCCCCTCTTATATCTGCCCTGTGCAATTTGTCGACTCAGTAGTTTGCAAACATTAAACCGCACCCGGGAAAGCCCCACACAAAGCGTCCCCGGCCTTTTTAAAGACCAGAGCGCGCAGCCATAAGCCTTTGAAGTGACCTTTGGCTCATGCAGCAATAACTCACCCCTTAATGAACACCCAACGGAAGCGCCTTGGAGAGATCCCGGCCCAGTTGGGCTCCTAACTTCGCGCCCTGGCCTCAGCTTCCCAGCCGACCCGGGCCAGGGAGCCCCGCCACTCGCCCGCCGCCCCCCATCCCGCTCCGCTGGGCGGGGCCCCGAGGGCGGCGCAGCGGAGGCGCGAGGTACCAGGGATCTCGGGCCGGCGAGTCCAGAAGCCGCTTTATATAATACATTCACGTGGGCGGACGTCAACTTTCGCCGCTTGATTATTTTTTTATTTATTTTTTTGAAATGGTGTTCTTTAGAAATAGGAGCGTCCCCTCAGAAGAAGGGCTAATTTGGAAGGCCACCCAGAGCCAGATCTCCCTGGCGCCTGTAGCTAGGTTTTGTTTTCCCAGCCGCGGTGAACAGGGTAAGTTTGCTTCTGGGCGATTCAGAGTGAGCTTTGCGCTCTGAGCACCCAGGCTTGGGAAGGGGCAGGGAAAAGGGACCCCAAGTTGGCCAAAGTTGAACAACCCAGAACCCCACCACCTCCTCCTGTATTCCCTCCTCAGCCCACCCACCATCCAGCACCCGCCCAACTTCAGCCTCTGGCTCTTCCGTCTTAGCCTTGACTGGCTCCAGGCCACCAGCTCAAGTACCCCTTTCTCAGCCAGAAACTGGGGAAGTGGGAAGAAGCCCTGTAGGGTAGCTGTCAGCGAAGAGCTGGTCCCAGACAATCCGGACCTTACACCCCATCCCCCCTAGCACCCCGGGGAAACTTTAGGATAGGGCCCTCGTGAAGACGAGGTGGGGATTACTGAAATTTTCGGGGGAAGTTATAAGTGAGTGCTCCATGGGGCCAAATGAAATGCTGCTCGCAGTAATTGGATTCAGCTGACTAAGTTGGCAGGCGCAGCTCCAAGGCAGCCAGCAAAGAAAAATGTCCAGCGACTTTAAGTTCTGATGGAGCCAAGCGCAGGCGACTGACAAACCAACTTTACTGCTTTGCTTTGATGAAGACGCCTCTGGAAGTCCTACCTTCTCATGCTGGGATGCGTCCCAACCGAGACTAAACTAGTGCTCCTTTCTTTGGGGGTCTGCAAGGGAGTCCCCACGGAGGCCCAATCTAGTCAGGCCTTGTGGCACTCTCATAAGCCCGTCTGGAGCCACCAACTCTGGCCTTAGCCAGGGAAAGACCTGGGATGGGTTATCCTCTCCTCCCCCAGCCAGGAGCAAGTAAACAAAAGGATAGATGGGATGGGGAATCAAAATGTGACTTAGCTTTCATCCCAGGGTCTTTACAAAGATGAACCCAGAAGCTCCAAACCTTTTTTTCTGCCACCATGGCAGCCAAAATCCTGGATTAGTGAGGGAGCGTGTAGGGTAGCCTCCAAAAACACTTCTAGGCAGTTTGGGGATTTTCTAGAATTTGAGAGAAGCTCTAGTAGTATTTTAACCTCCCAAGAAAACATTATAAGCCGACAGCAAGAGGTAAAGGCATGCATGTGGAGAGGCTGCTCCCAGAACAATGCAGGGAGCTGGCTGGCCACCGAGTTTATTTTAAATACATATAAATCAACCTGCCCAAGCCCAGCCCGGCAGCCCAAAGACACGGAATTAATATGACGCTCCATCTTACTTTGGCAGTGACAGTGTGTAAAAAAAAAAAAAAAAAAAAAAAAGTTTCTTTTTATTTATTTCATTTTCCAGCCCATTCTCATAACTGCATATTGACCCCTAAAATACTTCCTTCACCAGCCCCAACCCACTCACTGAGCAACACCCCCCCCCATGCCGCCAACCACCCTCCAAGCCTGGGAAGGTAGTGTGTCCTCCTAACCTTTGGGTAGGCGGGGAGCATTCCCACAAAGCGCACCTCGTTACGATTAATCACCCGTCCTCGATGTATATGGAGAAGTGCATCTAGGTCTACGCGGGCTGCCTCACCAATTGGCAATAATCAAGATCACAGATTACACAAAATAAATCATATTTAGTATCCCGCTCAGGGCGGCAAGCAGCCCCGCGCCCAAGATTTTCATTTTATCATGCAATTGCTTACCTGGGTCTCAATTTATCATAAACCTGGTGTCGTCGGCCTCAGAGTGGGCGCCAGTGGGGGGCAGAGCTAGCCTTCCCCCTTTGTCTGCAGTCAACACTGTCCCAACCCTAGTCTTGCGCGCTCGCAGACACAGCCATATACCGGAGCATACGGAATTCCCGGTAGAACGGAACCAGCCTGAGGTTCAACTACCAATAAAAGCAGGAGGAACGAGTTTGTAGTCCCGGAGTTGGCTTCCCCTGCGCTGCGCGCCTGTCGATCCACCCGCGCGTTCGTCCGCTCCCAGGCCCAGAGCGGTGGCCACCCGCGCCCCCACCCACTTCTGGGTTCCAGCCCAGCCCTCCCTGGCCCCCAGAGCTCGGGATTTATTTTGCTTTCGGAACGTGGCCCTTTCTGGATTTGGAGAAAGCCCCGGAAACCCCCTCAAGTCGGGGAAATATAGGCGCTGCCTTCAAATGCTAGTATATTTGTTCACGTGACCCCAAGGGAAGATTGTACTGATTGAGGCTGAAACTTTCACGCCATCCAGCCCCAGAGCTCAGCCAGGCCTGGGAAGCTGAGAGGAGGGGCACAGGAGACGTGGGACCTGGGCCTCTTCCCCCGAACTAACACGGGTGGGGTGGGGCGGAAGCAAAGCCCCATCTTGCAATTCTGGATCGACCCAGCCCCAGTCTGGGCGCAGGTAGTAGGACAAGGGTGCTGAGAGTCTCTCCCCCAGGACGCCGGCCCTGGTCCAACCTTCCTGCAGACACACCCCTGGGTTGGACATTTTAGAGGCTGTCTCTTTCAGAGGCCTCGGGATGCGACTGTGGAGCAGCAGAGACATAAGGGTCTCCCAGCTTCCCAGCCAATGCCAATGAGTATGCTGCATCCGCACACCGGCAAGGCACCCTCCCCCGACTCTCCCCATCCCTGGAAGAGGCAGTTACTTTGTGGTCTAGCACAGGCTCAGGCCCTAAGAAGGGGAGCCTCCAGCTCTCAGCACAGGCCAGGTTACCCCTAGGAAACCCCACCATCACCGCCACTACTTGGAACTTTGGCTCTCTGTGCAGACGCAGCAACCGAGCCGCCACATCTGAGACCTAGAGGTGTCTGGTGAGCAGCCTGATGGGACCCGAAGCGGTGTCCTGTCCTCCGCTCCGAGGCCCAGAGCCTCTGCCCTCTGGGACCTGTGCGTCTCCAGCTCCGGGTAGGGCCCGAGGATCACCTAGGTCTGGCTACTGGGATGCTGCGGCTTCCCGCTTCCTGCGGCGCCTCCAGGAAGGCGAAAGGGAGCTGCGGAATAGTCCTAGGCGGACTTATCTGGTGGCCCAGGAAGGTTCTATTTTAGAAAAATTAAATCAAAACCGGTTGCTAGCACTCTCCGAGAGAGCGAGTAGGATTTGCGGGAACGAATCTCCGTGTGGGAAGAAAAGCTTAAGCGCACAGCCAGCTCTGCCTTCGCGGAGAGCCCCGCACGACCCTCCCCAGCCCGGCCCGCACCCAGGAATCCCGCACCACGCGAGGCTCTCCATCCCATCCCCAAAGTCTCGCTTTCATAACCAGCTGTGCTTCTCAACTGCAGCGAGCGTGGGGCCGATGCCCTGCCGCCACTTGCAGGATATTGGATGGGCGAAAGCGCCCAGCAGGCGCAGAAGAGCCAGAGCGAGCAAGTAGGGTCCCCCGCAGCCTCACTTCGGAGGCGCGGATAGGTCCCGGAGGATAGGTCTCAAGCCCCAATCCGCAGCCCTGCCGGCGAGCCACTCCTTTTGTTCACCTGCCAGACCTGGCCAGAGGCCCACTCGGGAGTCTCTCTCTCGGAGCCCGGCTGTAGGTGTCCCCAGATCACCCCCACCTCGTGGACCCCTCCCCCAGTCTCTCGCCAGGGGCCAGAGCTGGCGGCCCGCAGCAAGTGTTAATCCCCAGCCAGAGAGGGGGGCCGCTTTGCGGGAATTTGTCTCCAGGAAAGGATCTAAGACTTCTTCAATCGGAGCATATGTTCATAGAGCAATAAACCGGAAAGATTTACAATCC